AGTATCAGACTTAATTGATTTAGGTTAAATTGGTTTATTGAAATTCTGTCCCAAATCCCCTCCAGATTCAAGTTAACTTGCACTCCCCCAGTATCCCAGGATGCTTTGTACCTCCCTGCAAACTGTCCCTGGCAAGGTGGGTGTGCTAGCCTTGGCCCAAGCTGTATGCTCCAGTCAAGTAGCTAAGTGTGCTGTAGTGCCCCCACCCAAGCTTCTGGCCTGAGCCACTGCAGGCATGTGGCTGCATTTCTAGAATCAAAAGTGAATGTCTGTTCACTTGTGTATCAGCTCAATGTACATAGTTTAGACTAAACTGCAAAGATTACATCAATTCAGCCTCCGGCTTTTTGCCTGTATACTTAGGATGGGATTAAGTGCCCACTTAACAAATTTGCAGATGGTGCGTGGTTGGATGAAGCTGCAGACACCCTGGTGGAGTGGGCTTAGGATTCAGAATGATAAATTGCAGAAATGGTCCAAAATCAAAGTTAATTGAATGCAGTTCACTAAGGACAAGTGCAAAGATCTGCACTTTGGACAGAAAAATCACATGTGCAAATACAGACTGGGGAATGACTGTTTTATGCCACAGTACTTCAGAAAAGGGCTTGGGGGTTACAATGGACCATAAACTGAGTGCGCTCTTGTTACAGAAAGGCCAATGGCATTCTAGGCTGTATTAATAGGAGTGGTACTTACAAACTAGCGAAGTGATTCGCTTTCTACTTGGCACTGCTGAGACTTCACCTGTGTCCAGTTTTGGTCCCTTCATTTCAGGAAAGATGTGAGCAAATAAGGAGTCCAGTGGAGTGCATTAACAGTGATTAGAAGCCTTGTAAACTTGACTCTAGGAGGAAAGGCTAAAAGAACTGAGATTTATTTTGTTAGAGGCTTATTTAGACTCTTCTGCAGTGCTGCTGCCTAGCCAGCTCTTCCCCATAGAGTGAGCATGTAATTTCTTCCTAAGTACACCATCCTTCACCACATTTTCAGCATGTCAATTTCAGACCATTTTTCCAGTCTGTCAAGATTATTTTGAATTCTGGTCTCATCTACCTGGCTTGGTGCTATCTACATATTATATAAGTATATCTTTTAGTCCAGTTTTTCAGGTCATTAATGAAAATATTGACTAGAATAAGGCCCAGGACACACCTGTGCAGGACATCAAATGCCTTTACAGTTTGATAGCCGAGTGTTGACAACTGTTCTTAGAGTGTGATCTCAAACAGTTGTGCATCCACTTCACGGTAATTTCACCTATATCTTTTTAGAAAAGACCCTGAAGTTAATGTTTATAATACTTTTTTTTAAAAGATGTCTTTAACATTTTCTCCAGGTGTTCAGTTCATGTGGGACTGTTGTTGTGAATCTGTGAAAAAAACAAAGACATCTCCAGGCTCTGGGTGCATTCTTGCTCACTGTATGGGTCTAGGGAAAACATTGCAGGTAAGGTTCAAACATAGTACATCTTTTAGTACAGACTTAATTCTCCTGATGATCCAAGTTTTAATGGGTTTTGTGGTTTTGTAGACACAGCTCATCCTGTCTTCCAGGCTGTGGCCTTCCTCAAAAAGAGGAAGTAGATTTTTGTAATGTTCTGAGAGAGTTGGTATTTATGTATTTATAAGTTATAAAATGTGTCCATGCACTCCGAGGTTTCTGGGTGTTTACATTGTGCTAATTTAAAATATCTAGAATGAGACAATACATTTATACTGGAATGATAGCGTGTGATGTAAACTATAAGTAATATGTATTGTTTCCTCATGATTCAAAATTATAAAACGTAGTTCCTTTCTGATTTTGTAACAATAGTATTCTCTTTCAAGTACCTTATGCTTTTTAATGCATTATGATGATGATGATGTTTGCTATTTAAATTGCATCCTTCTTTCTGTGGCCCGTGGAATATAAATTTTGCCTGGCATGTTTGAAATACCTGTTTGCTCATAAATTGATTATTTTTGTTGTGCTGCTTAAGCTGAAGGCAGGTTGAAAAAGAGAACTTTTCTATAGAAGTGGAATCTTCTGAGGTGCTATGCTCGTCCTAACAGTTCAGTCATTCTCAGTATTAATAGTGCACATTTGTCTTGTCGACTACAAGTCCTGAGGAAGTGCTCTCTTTCACATATATTTGCAACTTAATCTTTTAGCATTAATACTTAAAACATCCAATACTGAATTGGATATAATCTGATTCCTAGAACTTTAATGTTGTGTATTGAAACTTGAGATGTGAATCAGGTTGGATGATCTGATATTAATATCTGAATGGATTATAAATTTAAGTGAGGACATTTTTCACAGAAGAGGGTTTCACAGAAGTCAAAATTGACTTTATTTGTGTATGCAACTATTTTTCAGTGCTTATCTCTATCCTTTAAATGCTTTTGTGTTCTTTGAAACAAATAGGTCTAATACAGAGTTTGACTGGTTTTGTCAAATGAAAAGAGCAGTCATGAACTTACTGAATATCAGATGCACAAGAAAAGCCCAAATGACCTATTTCCTTGTGCAGTCTTTTTTTTCTCTGTATTTAAACATCTATAGCCTAAAATGTTCAACACAAAAGTAGTTCTGTTTGCAAAAGCAGTGATGCCATTCATCCTTGGTGGTGTGGCCTGATGCAGGCTAAAAAAAGTTTGGTGTCTAATGAATGTTGCATATTTGAAGCTCAGAATGAAATTTAATATGGTGTACAAAATGGGTCACCATACTGACGGAATTATTAACTTTGGAAATCTGCTGCCAAGTTTCAAGGAACTTTACTCTTTCTTCATAAGAAATTTAAGGATTTGAGCTTATTCTCTCTGGGGAGAAAGGGAGGGTCAAACGTGACTTAGAAACTTGTTAAATTGTTAAAATGATTTAGTAAACCTGGTGAGAGAGACAAGTTTTATTCTCAGCTACTTGGAAACAATATCCCAAATTAGAAAGCTGAGTAAATGAGGAACTTGAGCAAAGCTTTTAGCAACACAGCAATAAATCTGCCATGTTAACCAGGGAAGGAAATTTGGCTCAGAGAGAATTCAAGACTCAGATTTTATTTTGGAAATCTGTGAATTGAAGCATATTGTGTAAAGTGGAAAATGAGTTGTTTAAATAACACTCCCCCAAAAAGAAACTGTTTAGAGAAGATGTTTGGTGTTTGTAAAATTTGGATGTACATTTAAGTGGACGAAATGAGGATTGCTAATGTGTACTTTTTGCAATCAGGTATTCTAGTACTAATTTATTTGTTGGCTTTCTGTTTTGCAGGTAGTGAGTTTTCTCCATACCGTACTGTTATGTGACAAGCTGGATTTCAGCACTGCTCTTGTAGTGTGTCCATTGAACACAGCTTTGAACTGGCTCAATGAGTTTGAAAAATGGCAAGATGGTTTAGAAGATGATGAGAAATTAGAGGTATTTCATTCTTAAACTTTTATTTAGTCTCATACTGAACAGTTTGGTGCGATTTTTATTACATTTACTCACTCAAAATACTCTATTGATTGGGTTTTAAATATATGGAAAATGTACTTTCATTAGGGTTGAGTGTTTTAATAAGTTACCTTGAAGTAGGCTAGGACCTTTTTATTTATAGTACATCAACTGCTCTGCAATAATTGCCTGTGTGCATTCCCTACTCTTATGGTATTCTAGAGAATAGAATAAAGGAAAAGCTACCTCACATTTATCCCAAGTTAAGGTCATGCATATAAACATTTACCACAAAGTAGCTGGTGGGATGTAAATTCACACCCTAGCTTACCTTGTGGTAATTTGTTATTGTGTCTAAATCGTTAGTGTAGCACAGGGGTGGACAAAATGTGGCCCAGGGGCCAGATGTGGCCCGCCAGGCCATTCTATCTGGCCCAGGGGGCCCTTAAAAAATTTAGAAAATGAATATTGATCTGCCCTGGGCTGCCTGTCATGCGGCTCTCGATGGCTTGCCAAAACTCAGTAAGCGGCCCTCTGCCCAAAGTAATTGCCTGCCCCTGGTGTAGCAGGTGTGATCTAGGAATATAAAAGTTTTGTGATATATTGTTGAAATCTTTAAAGTAGATACCATGGTTCAGCTTTCTGCCTCTTAAGGTCTGCGAACTAGCAACTGTGAAACGCCCTCAAGAGAGAAGCTACATGCTGCAACGATGGCAGGAAGAAGGAGGTGTTATGATCATAGGCTACGAAATGTATCGTAATCTTGCACAAGGCAGAAATGTGAAGAGTCGAAAACTTAAAGAAATATTTAACAAGGCTCTGGTTGATCCAGGTAAGCAAAATTTATTTACGTGAGTACTCGTGGTAGGTATCCATCAAAGGATATGAGCTGAATTCAGAACTTTTGCAAGTGGAAAATGTTTTTTTGCATCTTTTAAAAATGTTTAGGAAAATAATTTTAATGGTCATGTTTTAATGAACATTTTAAGCTGTTTTTGTTCACAGTTAACTTGAACTCTAAACAGGTGATCTCTAAAACAATCTTGCGTATTTCATATGCTATGATTCAGTGTGTTAAGACTAATAGGCTTGCAGGTAAGAATGAAGTGAACCATTTATGAACAAGATGCAGCTACAGAAATTAGATTTGTGGCCAAAAATAACTTTCTGAAAGTAGCACCTTATCTAGGGGTCTGCTCAATCACAGTTGTACAAAAAATCAACTTAAATCAAATTGATTTAAATCACTGGTCAGAGAGCCTCTATTTAATCATTATTTTCTACAAGAAGTGAATTCTTGTCATTTGATATCCTTTATTCCTTTAGCTTCTTGAAATTAATATAGTCCATAGCCTGTTGTGACCTACTTACAAAATTTTTTCTAAAAAGGTTACATGAATATATTTAGTCTCAATAGTACATAATTAGAAGTTATAATCCCTATTCCATAATCATATCTTTTGAGCTTTAACATATCTTAAATTAAAAATACGCGTATGTAGATTTTTTTTAAATGCATCTTAAATAAGAAAAAAGATTAAATAAAAAAAAAAATCTGAGTAAAACAAAAGTCACTGATTTTTTTTTTGTCCACCCTGATGCTGGCTTCCCTCTGGGAGCCAGCAGTCCTTGCTGCTGCTGTGGCCCAGCCTCACAGCCCATCTTGGGAGGAGAAGGTGCTGCACAAAGGGAAGCCAGTAGACAAGATGGCAGCCACCCTTTCGTCTCTCCTCTCCCACCAGGGCCTCTCCACCAATCAGCAGTGCAGGGCAGGATCAGCGGCGCATATCTGGGAAATATCCGTGGAATATGCCCTTTATGCCATGACCAACCTGTGAAAATTTGTTTAGTCTCACCATGATTTAAGTAGGTCCCTACCTGTATCTTTATTATAATTTAAAATATTGCAGTATTCTGGAGCATGACGTTGAAATGAAAGTGTTGATATGAATTTACTGGCATTAAGGAGCATTTAAATTTGATTTGGCATTTTGCATTTTAGATGATGCTGAAATGTGATATACCGTTGGGGGTGGGTTCACTCTAGAGACTAAATGAGGTTAACAACAAATGCCAAAATGAATGATCAAAATGTGATTCTCTGTCCCTGTTTCAGATCCTATAACCAAGAAAAATCTTTCCATTATGCAGTACTACTTAATACAGTACAGAAGCTATTCTTAAATTGGCTGTTAAATTCTTAATTTGTATTATGCTTTGAATATAGTCACTAAATTTAGAAGTTAAAAATCCTGTGGTTAGTTTAGTGTTGACATGTTTTTTGAACTCTTAGCCAATAAATTGTTGTTGTAGTAGTTCTGTGTCTTGCTTTCTTGTTTTTAAAGGCACCTAGTTGGTTTTGTACCATAAATATTGCAGTTTTGAAACGATCTGTATAGGTGTTCTTAATATGCTCACTAGCAGTTGAAGGTATTTATATACAGTGTAATGTTGAGAATACAGGCTGAATACCGTAACTTAATACACTAGTGTGTTTGCTGAAAATTTGTATATCCTGCTTCAGCCATAAGTGAAAAGGACCTGGCTGGCAGTTTTCATTTGAGTTGTTTATGGGTGTTTGGTCCACATGATGATAAAATTAACAAAACTTAAACCTATTCAATGTGTTTGATAGATAGATTGTAGATTTGCTTCTGCTCCAGTGAGTTTCCAAGAGCTGCTGAAAACTTTGAATGAATGGCTAAACTTAAGAGACACAGTACTCTTTCCACCCTGATTTTAGGTTTTATAAAACAATACCCCAACCCTCTTGGCAATGTTGAGTATCCCTACTAGGGAAATTAATGAGCTTTTCTACTAATTGTCAAGCTGAGATTCCTGGATGGGTTTATATGAATCAGGAAGCTAACAATTGAGGGAGAATTTATACTCATGGGCAGGAAAGAAATCTGTAGTGAAAAAGACCTGTCATGAGAGGGTTGAAAAAAGTGTTTATAAAAAATTGCAGCTGCTTGAGTTGAGGAGCCAGGGTCATGCTGTGTGCTTGACCCATGAACTCTCCCTACCTGTGAATACTATGGCATTTGAAGTACAGTCGGAGCACTTTACAGTGGAACATTCTGGAATTACTTTTACAAAGTCATGGGAAGCTGATGTGGGGTACCAGAAGTCTATAAAAGGGCCAATGTAGTGCTGCTTTAAAAACGGTAGGAGGGACCTGTTAGCCTCACTTCAGTACCCAGGAAGTTGCTGGAGCACATAATAGGGAAGTCTGCTTGCAAGCATCTGGAGACAGATGGCATGATCACAAGCAGCCAGCACGCATTTATCAACAAATCATGACAAACAACCTTGATCTCCTTTGACAAGAAAACTAGTTGGGTTGGTGAAGGGAACACAGTGGATATAGTATATATGGACTTCAGCAAGTCTTTTGACGAAGTCTCAGATGACCCTCTCTTTAACAAATTGGATAAATGTATGCTAGAAAAAAACACTATAAGGTGGATAAATAACTATTTTCTAGCTGCAAGCCAAAGGGTATTTATAAAAGCAACCATGTCAGAATGGCAGGAGGTTTTGACTGGAGTCCTACAGCCGTCTGTCCTGGGCCCAATGCAGTCGATGCCCACTACTGGATAGTGGAATAGAGAGCTTCTAGAGCACATTTGCAGATGAGACAAAACTGGGAAGGATTGTGAACACACTGGAGGACTGGAGAACAATTCAGAATGATCTTGACAGCTCCAGCCCAGCTTTCCAATCTAATAGGATGATGGTCATAGCTGAGAAATGCAGGGTGCGGCACCTTGGGGTGATTAATTAAAAATACACAAAATGGGTGACAATTGACTGGATGGCAGGACTGTGGAGAAGGATCTAGGAGTCTTGGTGGATTACAGAATCGCCAGATGCACAAAGGGCATGTCGCAAGTTAAGCCTCGTCTCCTCTCTGAGTACTTCTCTGAACCCTCCCTCACCCCTCCCACCCCAGAGGTCTACTGTATAGTTTGTACCCTGAGGTTCTGGAATAGAGGCAGCAGGGCCCTTCAACAATAAGTGCACTCATCGCAGACCTAATCATCAGGACATTTCATAGACCTGTTTCAAACATGTCAGCTGGTAGATCATGTCAGATTCAGAAACTTCAGTGTACTTACCCTTGCACACTGAACAGGCTGTGAATACTTTTTCTGAATCTGGAAAAGTTCATTTTGGCAGTCTCTATTAAGAGGCAGTGTTTGGTAAAACTCAGTTCCATAGTTTAGACTGTTCAGAATGCTAACATTTAAATAACTCGGTGTTGGATTTAAGCTGAATACGAAAAGGCAGAAATGTCTTTTTCTTGTCCAGTAGTTTCTGGACATGTTTGGCTTGGCTAAATTGCTTCACAACTATCCCATTACTTGGATCTTGCTGTCTTCGTGAGTCACAATGCTGTCAGTATAGCTGGCTGCCAGTAAAAGAGGCAGTTATGCAGTTATGGAGATAGATGCTTGCCTACTGCTGTGATGGTAAATGGGAAAACCTTTGCCCCTGGGAGCTGTTTTAATTTAAAAAGTGGCAAAATTGGAATTTGAACAATAATTTAATTGGATATGGATGGTTGTATTAAGTACTGCTAGGGTAAATTTGTAGTGTAGATAATGCAGTATAAGCTTCTATGTAGTTGGGGAACCAGAAGGGAGAAGTTTAGCCAAAGTTTATGGGTGGGGAAATAGTGCAAGGAATGATTTCATTAATTAATTAGCTCTGCTATGTGAAGTAATAACAGACTTACAAATTAGTTCAAGGCAACAGATGACATCCCATAATGCTTAGTCTTGATAAAATGCTGTTTAGCTTATTGATGACCATTGTGCCACATGAAGTTTTTCACTTGCTTTGAATTTTTTTCTCAGTAATGCTAATTAAAATTCCATTTATGATATAACTTGGAAACAACTGTATAATTGACATTAATGTCATTCAGATCTATTTGATGTTTGTGGACTTGGAATAGAAAGAGGGGCTACAATCTATAGAATATACTGTCTGAATGTACAGCTAAATGGCACTTCAAAATCTTCTTAATTTCTCAATTGCTGGTGAGACATAAAAACAAGTCACCTTTCTAGTGCTTTATTAATGAAATCACGTTGAAGATTTCAAAGTGCTATGCAAACATATTAGCATATTTGTTTTGCAAGTGCCAAAATTCTAGTAGGTAGAAAAATACATGTACGAAATTAGCTATTTTAAGTCATGTTTTCATTAGTGGATGAATTTTATATCAGTATTTAATTAAATTTATTGTACATGCTTTTATCCCCTAATATTACTGTGATTCAGTTGACCATGATATATGTTTGTAAGCTAAAATTTTCACTGATGTGTAATCTATGGCTCATAGTAAACTTGTACCGATACTACCTTTGATTGATCTTCCATGCATCTTTTTCTGTATTCTAGCAGTACTTAAGTCTTGATTAGGATTGTCAGTCCAGTTGTATTTTTTGCATAGCATCCAAAAAAGACTTACAGTGTTAACGATGGGAGGCTGCATGGCATACAACAAAATCAAAGTGGAGTGAGTAGTGGGTGGAGAAAGAGGGTCTCAGTAGTGGGAACACAAAATTATTAGCAGATGTAGGTGGAAGAACCTAAGAGCTGTGTAATTTTTGCCATTTTTAATTAATGAGATGAAAAAACAATAGAGTCGAGTTTACTAAAAGGCCACCTATGCTAAGAGCATCAGTAACAAATGATGGCTCTCTCTAATATTTCTGAAATTAGTGCCTGTGCTCTAACAGCCCATTTGTAACTAACATGAGATTCTCTGAAGTAAGTGGTGATATTTGGTTATTTTTGTGTTTTCTCATAATTTGTTTA